TGCACGCCTACTGATCATAAATCACACAAGTGAATATTAAATAAAAAGCCACTAGGCGAGATGTGTTTCAGCCTTGAGGGCCTTCTTCAGTGGCCTAAAACCGTGTTGCACACACATAAAACATAAAATGATAGACGGACCAGGCAGGTTTGAAATTTCAGGGGTGGAAAATGGTCAGTAAAATCAGTAAAAGTCAGCTTTTTCATCTTGGTCAGTAGTTTGTCAGTTATTTTTAAAAAGTGGTCAGTAAAGTCAGTATTTCTTTGATTTTTGTGAATGCAGTTTGTATTTTCCCATTTTCATTACTGCATTTTTGGGGAAACATGATGACTTCCCAGTGAGAAGACAGATTGTTTTCAGTTTAGTTATGAAGTACTTTAAGGACTTTGTTCCTAAAAGTGATTCAGTGAAATCTTCCACAAAGTATAAGAAACATAATTAACCTCTTAAAACGTGAGACAGTGAAAGTAGAGGTGATGGATATTGTGGGATTCAACATGACACAGCTCAGAGTTGAGAAAGCAATGGAAAAGAAGACGACAAGGGGAAAAATGCTTTGGATGCATGCAGAAAACTGTTGAGAAACTAAAGAGTTCGTGAATAACTTTATTTATTCAATTTATACCCCGACCTCCCCGCCCGAGCGGGCTCAGGGCGGCTTACAAAGAGATTAAACATATAGGTAACAAATTATATACAATTTTAAAACAAATAATAAAACTCTGCATTATCATAAAGTGCTAGTAAGTGATCAGGTACTTATAACAATGCTTACAGAAGGTGGAACCAATACTAGTGTTGTAATCAGATGATCTATATTGGTGGTTGGTTCGTCTTGGTCTCTGTATTTAGGCAACAGCACAGGCTGTTGGTGGTAAGCCAAGGACCAGGGCACTGTCACTTCTCAGTTATTTGATGTTGTTTGGTGCAGCTCCTTAGTCGAAGGCCTGGTGGAAGAGCTTCTCCATCTTGCAGGCCCTGCAGAACTGTAAAAGGTCCCGAGGGCCCTGATCTCTTCTGGGAGCTCATTCCACCAGTACAGAGCCACCACTGAGAAGGCCCTGGACCTGGTTGTGGCTGTCCTGGCATCTCTAGGACCTGGGAGGCCAATCAATTTTGTGACCCTGAGCACGGTGCTCTTTGGGGAACATGTGGGGAAAGGCGTTCCCTCAGGTATGTGGGCCCCTGACCTTAAAAGTAAGTACCAGCACCTTGAAGTGAATTCAGTATGCTATCGGCGGCCAGTGCAGCGCTTTCAGCGCAGGCTGGATGTGCTCCTGCATAGGGAAGCCCATCAGAAGCCTGGCTGCAGCATTTTGCACTAGCTGTAGCTTCTGGATTTGGGTCAAGGGCAGTCCCATGCAGAGAGCATTACAGTAGTCCAATCTCGAGGTGACCATCACATGGATCACTGTCACCAAGCTGTTGCATTCGAGGAAGGGAACCAACTGTCTAATCAGCCGGAGGTGGCAAAAGGCTGGGCCTCCATTTTTAGAGAGGCATCCAGGAGCACTCCTAAGCTTCTAACCTCTGACGCTGGGACCAACTGCACCCCATCGAAGCTCGGAAGTAGGATCCCTACCCTCAGGCTGCCCCAGCTCAGGCACAGGACCTCCCTCTTCGTCGGATTCAATTTCAGTTGGCTTATTCTGAGCCAACTAGCCACAGCTTGCAACGCCCAGTCCATATCTTCCAGTGTAGAGTCAGACTGGCCGCCGAACAACAGATAGAGCTGGGTGTCATCTGCATACTGGCAGCATCACAGCCCATGCCTCTGGGCACTCTGGGCAAGGGGGTGCATGTAGATGTTAAGTAACATTGGGGACAGCACTGCCCCTTGGGGCACTCCACAAATCAGTGGGTGCCTTTGGGATAGCTGCTTCCCTAGCGCCACCCTTTGTCCCCAACCCTAAAGGAAGGAAGCCAGCCATTGCAAGGCAGGCCCCTGGACTCCAGTGTCGGCGAGGTGATGGATCAGTAACTGATAGTCGACCGTGTCGAACGCCTCCAACAGCAACATCGCTGCTAATCCACCCCAATCTAGATGCCTCCAGAGGTCATCCATGAGGGCGACCAGTGCCGTCTCTGTCCCATGGCCTGTGCAGAAATTGAACTGGAAAGGATCTAGACTAGAATGGACATGTCATCCAAAAAGCTCTGTAGCTGAATTGTCACATCCCTCTGTTATTTTGCCCAAATAGGGCAGATTGGAGACCAGCTGGTAATTAGCCAATTCAGCCAGATCCAGAGATGGCTTTTTCAGGAGGGGACAAACCACAGCTTCCTTGAGTGCTCTAGGGAACTGTCCCTCCAAAAGAGACTTGTTGATAATCTCCCTTAGGGCATCTTGAAATCCATCATGGCCAGCTTTAATTAGCCATGATGGGCACGGGTCAAGGCAGCACATGGTAGGGCGTACATTTAAGAGCAGTTTGTCAACTTCCTCCAGGCTGAGCGGACTGAAATAATTCGTAACCTGACTAGAAGACATGCATGGAGCCTCGAGTTCGCTCACTGTCTCAACTGTGGCAGGGAGGTCATGGCGGAGCAACAAGACTTTATCTGCAAAGTAGCTTGCAAAGGCCTCACAGCCAGTGTCCAGTTCCCTAACATTTGGTCTGCCTTGTGGCAGAACAGTCATAGACCAAATTATTCTAAATAATTGGGCTGGGCATGAGCTCACAGATGCAATCGTAGCTGCATAATACTCTCAGCGGCTTTGACTGCCATCTCATAGGATCTCATAAACGTCCTATAAGATGTTCTTGTGGCTTTGCTGCAGGCGCACCACTACTGTCTCTCTAGCCATCTTAGCCTTCGCTTCATCAGCCGCAACTCCTGGGTAAACCAAGGAGCCAGCCTAGAGTGAGGGCGCAGAGGGCGTTGGGGAGTGATCTCATCGATGGCTGCCGAGAGTCAGCTGTGCCAATCCTCCACAAGCTCATCTAACAAGCCACCAGGGGGCATTGGATCCTGCAGGGCCATTTGGGTCCGCGGGCAAGTTGAAATCTGCTCACCGCCCAAACGGTTGGGGTGAAACATTCAGATGGGCCTTCAGGGCAGTGACCCGGTCCACTGTGACCCCTGCTGCAAAGATCAGATCGAGCGTGTGTCCGGCCTGGGGAGTGGGAATCATTACATATTGGGAGAGTCCCAGCGCCACCACGGATGACACTAGGTCCATCTCCTGTGTGGAGACCACATCGTCTGCATGGACACTGAAATCATGCAGGGCAATCGGTCTAGGGTGTTCCAATGCCCAGCCTGACACAGCCTCCACCAGGGATGGCAGGCTGCTGGCCGGTTCTTTTTTCATCAGGAAACCAAAGATAAAGTAAAAGCAAAGACAAGTCTTACCTTACAGTAATTATGTGTTGTTGTCATAATTATTACTTTATGTTTGGTTTTTAATATGTTTTTGCTGTTTTATTATCTGCAGTAGGTAATTCTTTTTAAAAGGGAATCTTTTTTGCCTTAAATTTTGTACAATAATGAAAACATTGTTCTCTATTCATAAAAAAATCAATAAAAAGGTGTGCAGTCCTTTTATCTGGGTCACATCTAACTATGGGGATGGTAGAGGCCAGATAATAATAATTTTTAATGAAGTCCTAGTTTTACATTTAAAACGCTAGCTTATCAGTAAGCTGACATTAAATTGTTCAGTAATTTGTCAGTATTTGGTCAGGTTTTTTTGGAATTTTGGTCAGTAAAATCAGTATTTTTGACCCTCTGACTAGTTTCCACCCCTGTGAATCCTGAAAATAGTAAAAAGTAAGCCGTTAACTGTATTGTCAAATAATTGTAGCCAAGGGGATGTTAATCAAGAAGCGGTAGTAGTATTGGTTACTTACACTATAGGGGGAGGTGCCAAATAAAAAATAGGCCTGTAAATAATTACGATCCAGCCCACAAAAAAGCTGATATCTCTCACCAATATCTGTTATTCAGATATCTGATTTTTTGCAGGCTGGCTCATAATTATTTACAGGCCTATTTTGGACTTTCCCTTTGCATCCATTCATGTCAGCGATTGAGCTTTCTTTCAGCTTTAGTCCCGTTGCATCATTAAGGACAGCGCTACTCATACTTGTCCTCAGCATTTCCCCGGTAGCTGATTAAGTGCCATCTGACCTGGGTGTCCTGTCTTCTAGCACTATATCTTTTTTCTTTTGGATTGTCTCATCAGAGGGTTTTCAAGGTAAGAGATGATCAGAAGTGGTTTACCATTGCCTTCTTCTGAACCGTACTAACTGGGGTTAGCTGAAATGCCACTGCCATTGTCTACGAAAGATCCTCCACCCCCATCGCCACTGCAACTGTCTGTTCTCTTCTGATGTGGCTGTTCTTTCCTGAAGTGGGTGGATGCATTGTAGTCTGGTGTCTCACCTCTGAGTGACTCCGCTAGGAGTTTAGCCTCTTGACAGAGTCTAAACTCCTTACAGTGTTGCTCTCAGCTTGTTGACACACACTAACCCCTATACCACATTAAGGTGTGCATCAGTTTGCCAGGTAGTTCTGTAAATCCAGAACTATGAAGTTATCACGCTAGTAGATCTTGCTCAGTCCAGTGTTCCCTCTAAGCTGTGGAGTCTCGTGAGCAAAAGTTCTACTTTGTGAGCTACTGGCATTAAAGTTGTGAGCGAAAGATTTGCCTACTGTATAAATTAGTTTGCTTTGGAGCCATCCTTCCTGTGCTAAGACAAAACTGTGTGAGCTGGAGGCTAAAAAACTGAGCTAGCTCACACTAACTCAGCTTAGAGGGAACACTGCTCAGTACCTGAATAGCACGGCAAGTGCTACTGCTCTATCCATTCTGTTGTTCATACTTATATATATATATTTATATACTTATATATATTTTTGTACATTCTTTCCCAGAGTAATCCTTAGACTTGCAAGAGTAATGTAGAAGAACTTTTGATTACTTACGTAATTATGATTATTGTCCAACTGCATAGTTAATGTGTATATATTGTGGATTTTCTGGGGGGTTTTAGATTACAAGAAGATCCTCCTGTGGGTGTCAGTGGCGCACCATCCGAGAATAATATAATGCAGTGGAATGCAGTCATTTTTGGGTAAGTGAAGAATGCTTTAATTTTGAAGAAAATAATTACTTACAAGGTAACTGCATGAGGGCTTGTAGAAGTGCTGTGCATCTACTGAACACACCTTAGGATATGAATTTTTAAGGGAAAGCAAGATACTTGATATCTTTTTTTGAACTCCCTTGTTATTTTTAAATGTAAATACATAAATATGAAAGTTTAATTAAGACCGGAGTAAGTAACCACTGATGTATTATGCTTTTTGTAATACGGAGAACTTTGGCTGGAAATACATTGATCACATTGCTTAAACTATAACTGTGTGATCAGGACACCCTGGTAGCAGTTCTGCTGAAATATGAAAATATGCTGTTCTGCTGAAATATGAGAATCAAATTTGTCTTAAGTAACAGATTTGCATACTTAGCTAATATCTCTATTGCAGTTTTGATGGAGCCTAAATTGTAACAAATCTATTTTAAGAAATAGTACTACTTCTGTTCATTTACTCTTCTTCTATATTCACTTCTTTTTCTAATGTAAAGGAAAGGTATACGATCTCTTTAGAAACTCTGTATTTTGTCTTGTTCTAGGCCAGAAGGTACTCCTTTTGAAGATGGTAAGTTCTTAATCTTCCTTCCTTTTTTTTTTCTTTTTTTTGGGGGGGTGTCTTAGTAAATTTCTTACAGCAACTTTGCATTGTCTAATCATCAGCTTACATTAGCCACCACATTGTTTGAAATGTCCCATGGTAAAATTCCAGTTGCTGTAATAATACCGCCAAACTACGAAAGTTTAGCTAAAGTTCCATCTGTAATATATAACAATTGTCATATGTTTTGAAATACCCTACTTTGGCAGCGCCAGTGGGTAAATAGTCCTGCTGTTTAATTGGGACCAATAGGTGCTTTCAGAATAGCATTCTTTGAAATGTTTTAAGCATGACATTTTGTGTACAATATGTTACAAGTTGGTTATCTTTTATCTGTAATTGCATTAAGGATTGCAGTCTAGACAGGCAAAGTGCAGATCCTTCTGATGTCCTGTAATTGCATTAAGGATTGCAGTCTAGACGGGCAAAGTGCAGATCCTTCATAATGTAGGTCAAGTCAGAATTACTACAGTTCCACCCCATATCCAAAATCAGATTATCTGCATTTAAAAATTAACTAATAGTTAGCCATACCCATTGACTTGGAAAGATTGTCATCATTGTGTTTAGAATCTAGTTTCTGTTGAGCTCTTCTTTGGGGGATAGTTCCCCTCTAGAATGGAAAGAAGCATTGATCTCAGCTTTGTCCCACTTTTTATTCCATTAGAATTTCCTCTGCCCCTCCCTTAGACTTCCATTTCCAACAATAATGACATCTTGGCCAAAGTGGAATCTCTCAGCTAAGATCCATGCAACTGTAGTATTAGTTCTGTGTGAGTTTGGACTTGTGTTTCTTGAATAGCAGTCTCCCCTGCCACATGCAAAGTACTGTTAAGAGTGTGAGGACTCTTAAATGTTATGATAGAAGATAGAAACCCCCTGTTTAAAACACAAAAAAAGGTCAAAAATCCCACAGGGCATACCAAAGACCTTGGGCACACCTAAAGTAGCTATTTGGATCCCAGCCACTATTGCTATCACGAAAGCAGTCAGATACAGATCAGAGCAATCGATGACTGATGGACAGCTTAGGTATCCTCCAAATCTATGAGGTAAGTGATGTTTGGAAAAGATGGGGCTGAGAGAATCAGTAAAATCCACACCCAAGAACTGGTCCTAAAAGCATCTTCAAGCTCCAAATCATCTGCTGAATGAATTGGAGCAAACTAGATTTAGTGAAATGTTTGACGGACCAGTTAACTTCTCCTAAAACATCCACTTTTGTTCATGCTTTCAAGGAGATATGCCTGGTTCTCAGTACAATCCTAAGATGATTTATGCCCTTCTGAGCCAATTGAAGGCAGTGGGTGTAACTTTTTGTAGGGTTGCACTATTTATCTTTAGTGCATGATGTGAGTTCATCTTTTGGTATGGAAAATACGAACAACTGGAAATTCTCTCAAACCAATCTGCATAGAAAATGGTCTCCATGAAAATAACCAAACTAAATTTTGAGAATGTTATGGTAGTAGTTTATGTAGACATCCTTCTGCCTCTCAGTTTATTGTTGTGACCTGAAGCATGGCTAAAGGGGGAAGTTTGGTTCTTAACAGGTCAGGAAATGTAGGAGCTGGGTTTTGATTTTGGTTTTTATATTTGGTGATGTAATTTTCTTAATGGATCTAAATTTGATGGGTCTTAAGGCAAAGAGAAAAATATTTCCTGTATCTTTTAATGATTGAAAGTCTTCTGTGTTAATATCTGAGTTGGATCCTGCCAGCTTTTCTGTTGGAAACATGGGCAGACAAAAAACCCCTTCGAGCACTGAAAAAGCCGTACTGGGGATCACGATACCTGCATGGACAAAAGCAGTGTGGGATGGGGGCTGCAGTGAGGAGAAGAATTGGATGAGCCTAAGGGGGGGAAATGGCAGGATCCAGCCCCTGATTTTTAATATTCTGGCTTTACCCAGGGAGGGGGGAATATAGGTAGTTTATAGCAGCTTTGCAAGTAAGTCCATAGAAGTTACTAGCCCATGAACATTTTTACTAGTCTGTTTAAAAGGTAAACGTTCCCTTGCTCGAAAGCCAGTCGAATCCGACTCTAGGGTTGCGGGTGCTCATCTCCGTTTCAAAGCCGAAGAGCCAGCGCTGTCCGAAGACGTTTCCATGGTCATGTGGCCGGCATGACTAAACGCCAAGGCGCACGGAACGCTGTTACCTTCCCACTGAAGTGGTACCTATTTATCTACTTGCAATTTCTTGCTTTTGAACTGCTAGTCTGTTTACTCCTCCATATTTAAGATAGTTAAAAGGAGATAACCCTTTTTGTAAAGCTTTCCTGCCTTGCCTGGCACAAGAATGCCTGGGACTATTTACAAGGCTAATTTGCAACTTCTGGGTTATGCAGCATATCTAAGGCTGTTGCATACAGCCCATGGGAACTTGTTAAGACACTGCACACCATTTGTCCTCCTTAAAAAATTTCAATAGCAAAAGCTTCGTAAATAGCTGCTGGTATTGAAAAATTGTTCACCTCTGTTCTAGTGTCTGTTAGTTTTTGGCAGAAACGTTGCAAGGTTGGGTCTAATGAAGACTCCTAGTTTATCTAACTCTGAAGAACATTGGCTGCTTTCTTCTTTGAAGTGTTCAGGAAGAATCATGTCTCAAGCAGGTACTAAGCAATGCTCCCTCTAAGCTGTGGAGTCTCGTGAGCAAAAATTCTGCTTTTGCGAGCTACTGGCATTAAAGTTGTGAGCGAGCGATTTGGCTACTGCATAAATTAGTTTACTCTGGAGCTATCCTTCCTGAGCTAAGACAAAAATGTGTGAGCTGGAGGCTAAAAAACTGTGAGCTAGCTCACACTAACTCAGCTTAGAGGGAACACTGGTACTCAGGGCTCTTTTCGTAGAAAAAGAGGTGCAGGAGCTCATTAGCATAACTCATTAGCATATGCCACACCCCCTGACATCACCGGAAGTGTGTCATAGGCCACACCCCCTGACATCACCAGAAGTGTCAAAAGGCCATCCCCCTGAACATCACCGGAAGTGTGTCAGAAGGCCATACCCACTGCTCCAGCTCCACTGGACTGTTTTGGATTGCTAGCTATTGGGGGGAAATGAGCAGATTTGCCCTCACAGAGCAGCCAGAGCCGGTTCCTGACTAAAACTTGGTCTTAAAGGTGCCACTGGACTGTTTTGGTTTACTGGCTATGGGGGGGGGATGAGCAGATCTGCCCTCACAGAGCAGCCAGAGCCAGTTCCTGAATAAAACTTGGTCTTAAAGGTGCCACTGGACTGTTTTGGTTTACTGGCTATGGGGGGGGGATGAGCAGATCTGCCCTCACAGAGCAGCCAGAGCCAGTTCCTGAATAAAACTTGGTCTTAAAGGTGCCACTGGACTGTTTTGGTT